ATATGTATATATATAAAAAAATCACTGCCTATGCCTATTCAATTGTCTTGAAGTGTTTTCCCTCATTTTTTTCTAGTAGTTTGAGTTTTAGGTCTTACATTTAGATCTTTGATCCATTTTGAGTTTATTTAAAATATATATATTGGTCAGAGGAAGAGCTAGGGATCTAGTTTCCCCTATCTGCATGTGGACTCCCAAAATTTCCAGTACCATTTATCACAGAAGTGATCCTTTCTCCACTGTGTGTTTTGGTGCCTTTGTTGCGAATCAGTTGGTTGTTGTTATGTGGATTTGTTTCTAGGATTTCTATTCTGCTGCATTGGTCTATACATCTTTTTATGCCAGTACTATTCTGTTTTAGTCAGGATAGCTCTGTAGTTTGACATAAAATCAGATATTGTGATGCCTCCATCTTGGCTTTTTGCTCAAGATTGTTTTTGCTACTAGGGGTCTTTTTTGCTTCCATTTGAATTTTAGTTTTTTTCAAATCCTGTAAAGAAAGTAAATGGTATTTTGATGAGAACTGCACTGAATCTGTAGATTGCTTTGGTTAGTATACACATTAACAATATTAATTCTTTCAATCCATGAACATGAGAGGGCTTTACATTCTTTCATGTGTTCTCTTCAGTTTTTTAACCAGTTTTGTAATTTTTATTGTAGATATTTTTCACTTTCTTGGTTAAGTTTATTCCTAGGTTATTGGTAGCTTCTGTAGCGTTTTTTTCACGATTTATTTTTCAGCAAATTCATTATTAATGTATAGAAAAGCTACTGATTTTCTCTGTTGATCTTACCATTTATTGATTTGCATACATTTGATAATCCTTACATCCTTGGGATGAGACCAACTTCATCATGGTGAATGAATTTTCTGTTTTTTGGTACTGGGGGTCAAACTCAGGACCTTGTGCCTGCCAAGCAGGCCCTGTGCCACTGATCTAAATTCCCAGCCCTTGGTGAATGAAGTTTTGAGGTGCTGTTGAGTTCAACTTGCTAGTATTTGTTGAAAACATTTTAACCTGTGACTGTCAGGAATATTGATAATGTTTCTTTTGTCATCTCTGTCTTGACCGCAGGTTAATAATGGCCTCATTCCATGGTGTCTGTAGTGAGAGAAGTAGCACCGGTTCTTTTTCACAAGGTTGCTCCCTACTCTCAGGCTGCTTTGCTGGCTGGCATCACGCCACAGAGGTGGCAGCGCAGAGCCTCTGCCCGCTCCCGCTGTGGGGCTGGGGCACTGTGTCTGTGTGCTTCCTCGTCCTCACAGTTCCCACAGGTCGCCCATCCTTAGGGTGACTCGCACAACTCACATGGTCCTCACTGTTCCCGCCGTTATGTCCACGCTGCCCCTCAGACTGTTCTTCATCCTTTCCACTGATTTTAGACCATCCAGCCGAAGCTTGCTGCCACCAGGCCTGGGCTGCGATGCTCCCTCAAGCGAGCCCACCAGAGCGTCCCTCGTGCAGTCCTTGTCAGGCATGCCCACTGCTCTTCTGGACGCTTCCCATTCTGCCCTGCGGTCTGTATTCCTGTATTACTTCTGGGAATTCGTCAGATGTCTCAGAGATGCGCCTAGTCTGTTATTATTCGAACCCATCATGTAGACACTACTCAATGAATATTTGTTGAAGTGGGAGACGAGGTTTTTTCCTAATCCAGTTCCTGATTTTGGAGTATGGAACTACACCAAGGAGCAGTATGCTCAGCTGCCTCCCAACAAAATGTGACTGGGGTGGTTCTCATTACTAAATCCTGCCCTTAAGGAACAATTCAAAATGGGTGTGGTTCTTGGGAAGGTCTGCTCCAGTATTCACCTTCCTCTTAGTGAGTAAAGAACACTCACTACTTAGGGTAGGCGGCACCCTCCTGAGTGCTGCAACCCTGCCTGCTCTGTCTGTTTCTTTTCACGTAGAGGAAACATGCTGTACAGGCCTAATCTCACGTCTCTCTCACTGGGGCCTGACACAGTCTTCAAGGTAAAAGGAAAATACATCCATACATTTACATTTCATCTAGTAACTTCAGGTGCCATTAGTCTTTCCTTTCCTTCCAGGTAAGAGTGGAGCTTATTCTCACAGAATGCTTATTACAATAATCATTTATGATATTGGTACCATCTGTCTTTGATGTTATGGTTTCCTTAGTTAAACATATGATTTTTCACCATTAACCAAACAGCTGCTATGGGTGATGGCACACATTTCAGGGCCCTGTGCACGCTCAGCATGTGTGATAGTTCTGGGCTGTACCCCCCACACTCAGCCCAAACCTTTTTCTGTTTTATTAGACAGGATCATGCTGTGTTTTGCAAGGCTTGCTTTGATCTCTTGGGCTGAAACTTTCCTGCTGCCTCACCTTCCCAGGTAGCTGGAACTACAGGTTTATGCCACCATGACTATTTTCTCTTTCAAAAAACATTTCAGACTTTCCCCATGGTTACTTTAAACACCTGACAGAAAATAGAAGTAAACAGGTAGAATAACTGTATCAGAGTGATGGTACTTTATGCATTTGTAATATTCTTTTACGAATTAAAGAGATATGCACCGTAGTTATTTTTATTTTTATTTTTTATTTTTTGAGACAGGGTCTCACTATGTAATTGAGACTGACCAGGAACTCACCACAAAGCCCAGGCTGGTCTCAAACTCACAGCGATCCTTCTGCCTCAGCCTCCCGAGTGCTGGGATTACAGCACCAGTAGTTAATAAAGGTCATAAGATCTAGCTAATGTAAGAAATTATATCAATGGTCATAATCATCTAGAAAGCTATCCTATGGTGATTGATAACCCTAAAACCCTACATTTTCCAAGCTACAGAGCCAGGAACAAATGCAACTGTATGCTAAACAAACCTGAGAACATATGCTTCCTCGTTTCCTATGGGAGATAATTTGTATTTGTTTACAGATACTTTATACTTTTATATCTTCTTGCTCATTTTAATAGGAAGGGAATGGGGAGCTTAAGTAGACAGATTAGGGTGGCAGAGTTTACTCAAGAACCTGGTTATCCCAACAGCAACACAAAACTGAACTTACCTCTCGCACACATTACAGACTGTTCTGTTGCCAGCATTTGCTAATGTTCACTTACCTAAATTTCACAATGGGTCCAACACACCAATTTAACTATGAGGAAACCAATGCAAAAAGGGAGAAATAATGTCACATGTTCCCAAAGAACTGTTCCCTTGCTACGACTTATCTTTGTCTATAGCTAAAACTAACTAGAGGCCTGGAAATAGGAAAAACAAAAATGTTTTATCATTGTTTTCATTTTGACATTCACTCATGCCAAGGCTTTTAGACTTTTTAGGCTTTTTCATCCTTAAACTGGATCTCTGTGAAATGAGAGGCCTCTAAGAAATCCATGGGGAAGGAGCCGGCCGGGGCACTGGCCCACTCTGGACATGATCGCGTGGCGTGTTTTCCATCTCTCTGGTGGGTGATCTGATCTGTGCTGACCAGAGGGGCCTGGGGCCACGTGGCTCTCCAAGTGACTGCCTGGGAATGCCCTTGAGAGCGTGCACCAAGGGCAGAGTACTCCTGACGAGCTCATTCCTAGGAAACAGGACACTGGACTCAGAACCCCTGCCCATCTGCCGCCTTGTGCTGTGACCCTAGGAAGGAGCAGGGTTCAGCAGAAAGCAGTCTTGTCTCTATGTATGGTTTGTTAGCCATGTTGGGCCCCTTCTCACAGATTCTGGTGAGGATCTGGTGTCAGGACTCCCCAGAGTGCACTGCTGAGCAGCACGGGGCCCTGAGCTCCTGTATCAGAAGCAGATCCACACCCGACCCCAAGCACCTGACCAGCACTGAGGGGCAGGACGCACCTACTAGGCAGGCAGGGTCCCCTCAGTCCCTACTGTCATCTCCACCCTGGTCACTCGTGCCCTCCTCAGCTGCCTGTTCCTGTCTCACACTCGGACCATTGCCTCCCTCTGATAGGACTACAGGGCTCACTGCTGCCAAGTTCCGCAGGGCATCATCTTTCCTCCGTGTGGGCACCAGAAAGCCCTTCCATTGCGATCACGCTGTGCCAAACTTTCCTTTCTCTGTGAGGAGAATGCGGCCCAGGCGGGGGAGAGTGGGGGAGCAGCTCCCTTTGATTTGTGGCTGCATCTGATCCACCTTTGCAGCATACAGCAAACACACGCAGAACAGAGCGAGAATCAAAGGGCCAGATCTCCTCTCCCCCCTCCAAAATTCCACAGCCTTTGTTGCCTCTGGAGCTGGGTGGTTATTGAACTTTGCAGACCTGCTGGGCCTGGAAAGTGAAAACACCCTCCAGAGCCAGCAGGGGTGGTGCTGTGTGCCTGGGAGATAGGGCTGAGCATCCACAGGCCAGCGGTTGCCATGGCATCCTGACACCGAGATCATTCCTTATGAATGTCACCGAGGTCTGTGACTAAAGTTGTTTATGAGTCAAAAGTCTCAGGAAACTACAGGAGGAAAAGATGACTGTGCCTCGCCTAGGCAGGCTGTGGGAACGCAAGGGAGAGTGGCGGGCTCCACGCTGCCCCGCCCTGGCTTGCTAAGGAAGGAGGTTTTTTTAGTGTGACTTGCGGGGCCAGACAAGGGAGCTGGCTGACATTTCCTTCATCGCTATGCACGAGACAGTGAGGGAGAAGGAGGTTTTTTAAATCCTCTGCCACCGCTGTAGTTCTGAAATACAACTTTGCTGCAGCACTGGGCTTAGCTTCACCAGGCCCCGGAAGAGGCTGCCTTCACACCAACCTTGCCATTCCATTGCTCTGCAAGGAAAGCTGATCTTTTTTTTTTTTTAGACACAGCCTGGCCCTGAGGGGACAATGAGGCTCTGGACCTGTCCTCTGCTTACAGAGGAGGCTGAAATAGCAGTGACCATGGTGATAGCTATAATATAATAAATGTTCGGCTGCAGTTTATAGAAATCTTGGCAAAGAAAGGCCAAACATGATGAAGATTTTTTGCAAGGAAAGCATGTCAATTTTTGTTCTGTTTCTGGAATGTTTCTTCTAATATTCAGAAAATGGAGTTTGAGGGCGAGACATCAAGAGATTTCTCCCTTAATAAACATGGAGAATAAAGAAAGAAAGAGTGGGGTGCAGAGACTTTTGTTCACTGTGCCTCCACCCCGCACAGCAGCATGACCGGAGCAGTTATGGGGCTCATGGGGAGAGTTTCCTGCACACACTCCTCCACTCTTGTGCTTGGGGTGCAGGTCTGACCTCTGTTGTCAGGACACAGAGATGCCTACCATGGTTCTGGGGAAGGGTTCCCTATTCTTGTAGCGCTTTAGCTCCAGGTGCATCTAAAATATCACTCCTTTAACAAAGGGAGCTACATATAGCTTTAGAGGGTTCCCCAGGGCCTGCACTGAAGTGTGTGTTGTCCCCTTTCCCGCAAGGGCCATTCTCCCCCTGGGCTGGACTGGCCCAGGCTCCTTACCTCGGACACAGTACAGTTGAGCTGGAAGATCTGCCCCTCTCCTTCCACCTGTCGCACACACAGTTTGCACACCAGCTCCACTGTGTTCGGGCTGAATCTCTCCAGAGTGAAGGTGCAGTGGAGGTTTCTTTGACACCCGCTCCAAATATGGTAAAAAGGAATTTCCTGCAGGGCATAAAAGTATCAGTCACAAACGGGGAGTACCTAGTGGACCCTGCTTCGAGGTGGCCTTCTCAGAATTACACAGATCACCTCCTTTCATCTTCCTAACACCCCTAAGTGCGAGTAGATCCTGCTACCATAATCACATGCAAAAACTGAGGCCCAGAGAGGTTAAATAATTCACTCAAAGCCACACAGCTATTAAGTGGCAGAGTTGAGATTTGAACCCAGTGAGTCAGCTTTCAGAATAAATATACCTAAACAGTCTTTCATTTGCAAAGAAAAGAAGGCCACTATAAATGATCTTTCTAAAAAGTTTTGAAAGTTCCCAAAATAACATCCACACACACCATCATTGCTCATTAAAAGGAATCCCTACTGTGACATTCTGCAGAAAAGCAAAGCAGACCTAAAGGACATCACACTGATTACGTTTCCATCCTTTCATGGTTCCATCCTCCCTCTCCTCAGGACGGGGAAGCCAGAGCTGGCACTGCTGGAAATGGCAGGCTCAATTAGTGCCACAGAAAAGTTCTTGGTCTAAACAGCGCCCAATCCCTGACAGTCATTAATTTCCTAAGTGTCTAGGCCACCTCACAGAGCCGTCCTGAGACCTCGTTGCGATAAAGAGAAGGCTGATTCATGGAGTTGGGAGGGCGGGGTGGCTAAGGGCAAAGAGCAGCACCAAATCTTGCCTGTTTGGTAATTTGGGGCAAATTACTTAACCTTCCCATGCCTCAGTTTTTTTCACTTGCAAAAGAGAAGACAGAAGTATCTAAGTCACAGCCTTCTGGGGTGAAAAGGGTGAAACCCAGTACGTCAGGGTATCTGGAGGATGGTGAGCATTCAGACAAGGTTGGTGTTAGAATATCCTATGCTACCATTAATAAGACATCCCATTATAAGTGCTCAAAGGAATTAGGAAAGGAAAGATCTGTGGGACTTTTAGACAGTGGCAACATAGAAGAAGAAAATAAAGCAAGAAGTGTCATGAGAAAAGCAAAAGCCTGACGCCTCCCCCTGGGGTTGAGCTGAAGGAAGGCTGAGGTAGCATCTGCTCACCAACCCAGTAGGCTGCTGTCCCCTAACTCAGCAGTAAGCTCTCCACACAGGAAGGTAAGGACAGTTGGCCCCTTCCCTTCAGGCTGTAAGTCAATGCTCACTGACTTGGGTCAGGAATTAGCTGCCAGGCCAGGGGCAGTTCGGGGCTGGGTTGGATTCACCTGTGAGAAGCCAGACTCGGAGCTCCTCTGTCTGAATCTCCTGGCTGGGATGAGGCCCCCGGCCTGGGACAGGCAGGCTCCCAAGGGTGACAGCTGGTGACACCCTACCAGCCCCGTGATCATCTCATAGGCCCATACAATGGCATCGGGACTGGTATGCTTATGTTTATGCCTCATATTTCATTCAGTCCTGACTGGGCGTTACTTTCATGAGACACTTCAGTTCCCAAACGGGTGCCTTTTCATCCCAGCAAGATCGAAGCCTAATTGTGTCACGTCACAGGAATACATGTGGTGCTGTTCTTATCAAGTCAATCAACATTTCCTATGACAACCTGATGGAATCGGAAGTCTTACTTACTGAAAATAAAGCAATAACAGTACTCTCTTTTTATACTTCTGGGCTTCGGAACCAGAGCTTAGTGCATGGCAGGCAAGTGCTCTACGGCTGCACTACAGCCCAGCCTCTTCATTTTGAGACAGGGTCTTGAAAAGTTGGCTGGCTGGCTTCCAACTTGCAGGCTTCCTGCTTCAGCCTCCGAAGGAGATCACAGGCGTTCACCACCGCGTCCAGTGACAGTACATTATTACAGGGAGAATTCTCTTTACAGAATTTTCATCAAACATGTAGATCGGATGCTTTTCAAAAATCCCAAATTAATTCATGAATTTTGAAGAAATGAACGCTGGGATAGGAGTTCCCTCAAGAAGGGGACTTTCTTACACTTGTATAACTTTAGTCCTCTTTCTTGGACCTTCCGTTCAGTCTGGCAGCCTTACCTGATACTTAGCCAGCAGTTTGCTCTGCCAGAGGGAATGGGTGATGTCGTGGATGGACAGGCGCAGGTTGTGGGTGCTGCCTTTGAAGTGCAGGGCCTTGGGGTCTTCCAGGAGCTGTCCTCCCGTCTGCCGCTCGAGCTGTACGACTTCCTGCAATGACACGTCCCAAACCAAGTCATGTTCCTGCATCGCCCCACGTCACTCAGCTCTTGCGAAGTGAGTTTCTTCATCTCCTGAGTGGACACCCAGCTTGCACATCACCACGAGGGCCACTTCCGTGGCTGGATGCCCACTGTTCCGGACAGGACTGGGCCTTCCCGCAAGGCCCAGGCAGTGACTTCCAGCTCCTGTGGGGAACGGGTCCAGGGCAGGCCCCCCTTACCTAATGCAAGGGGTACTTAATTAAAACAGGGCAGTAACAGCCAGAACCCTATGCTAGAAGAGATTTGATGAAAGAAATAATAGGTAAAAATATAGATAAATGGATAAGAACTAGATTTTTCAGCTAACTTTTAGGGAAAGGGCAAATAATTTAAAGACAAACTCAAGTATTGGATCTAATTAAAAACAACCAATGAATACTTGGAACGTGTTTCAGATACTTAGTTCTTTATGTGCAGAAATAAAATCATAAAATTTTTGCTTAATATGATCCACTGCATAATTCCTAAGTACTAAAAAATTAGAATCTGCTCATTACATGTTCTGTTTGAGGAAAACATTCTGATATAAATTAGTAAGATTTTTCAACCACAAATATTGAACTAAACAGTTATTCAGATTAAATTTAAAAAAGAACGCTCATTTCTCAAGAATGGTGGCTGATGAAAAAATTGCTCCATATTTATAAAGATAGAACAGGAAGATAAATTCTATATAGACTTCCATTTCTCAGACTAGTTAATGGGAGTTAATGAAGCATTTGCAACCTACAGCTGCAATTTTCCAAATAGCAGCACACAAGTTATCAATGAACAAGATGTCCTGTCTAAACCATCCCTCTTGTACTTTACTTCTCCCTTGCCTTAACAGTTTAAGTAAGATCTCTCTATCTCTCTATGGAAATCCATGACCTTTCTTTTTAAAATAGGGATCCAGGAAAATAATGCATTTCGTCAAAAGTATGCAAGCAAAATATGACTTTCTGTAGTGATATGTCAGTAGAAAGTAGGGAGTTCAAGAACACAGGTTTTTATTCAGAATGCCACCTTGCAGCTGCATGTACTGGGCACCTACCGGGATGCCTGGGACATGGATTATGTGGGGAATCTCCACTGTGAGAACCAGATTGTTTGATACCCAGGAATGTGTCCACTTTGCATGTGTCAAATGCAGGTGAACCCACACACCTGTCTGGCAAGCGCAGAGCTGCCCAACATCAGGGATTAGATGAAAATAACTCACTCCGAGCTGCCCCTGGAGTGGTTCTCAGTCTCTATCATGTATGGGTCAGGCCACTATTATGAGCAATGCAAGCTGCTGAAAGGTCCTATGAGGGGGAGGAGATGGTAAGATGTGGAATGCGGTTTCAGACAGGGAGTTTCGAATTAGTGTCTGATGGAAGCCATGGGGCAGGAATATTATGACAGTACTGACCTCCTTTCCACTGTGGCCTGTGCAGAGTAGCTATTGCTTGTGACAGGCACCTGACCAACCAGCCAGCCACCCTGACACGGGTGACATGTCTCTGGGTGCTGCCTGTTGTGCCCATGTCTGCAGGCCTCGAGGGTCCCCTGTGGGCCACACAGGTCCATCCATCTCTGAGTCACACACTGCCTTCCCAGAATCCCTTGTCTGACTCTGCACGACCTATTCCTGAGTGAGAATCTGGCCAACATGGAACTGGGAAAGAACAAACCTGAGGGTTAATTGCAGTTTCTCCTGCTCCAGCAGGAAGGCATAATGAGCTTATGTTGATCATGTTCAGTGTCTAGTTAGCATAATAGAGAAAACTGATGTTCCCAGTGAACCTGGCACCTGACAAATTCTAAAGCTAAAATGATGTTTGTTTATAAGCCATTAGAAGAAAAGAAACATAATTAGAAATCCTTGAGATTACAGTCATGCCAATCAATCAGTTCTAGCTGCTTTCCAGTATGCCCTAATTACCTCATCAAGACGTCTAAAGAGCAATCGATAGTAATTATCTGATTACTATAGATCTTCATTACGTCCAAATTATCTCCCTGGGATATCTAAAAGAAGATGCATTGTGTTCCGGGAGGTAATTGTACCCAAGCATGTATAATCCACACCCCACCCCTATAATCAACACAGACCATCATGGGACAGGACAGCACGATCAGTTTTCTGGGCAGGGAGGGCCACTGAGAGAAACCTTAAGTGCCTGCTGGCCATGACCTTGAAGTCTGGAAATCCAGTGCCACATTTTGAATGCAAAGGCTGGTTGCAGTCAGCCTAAGAGTAAGGCTCAGGCCTTGGTTTCTTCAGCCATAAATTCTGATGTCACAGTGAAGAATTCTTGTAGTGAGGAAAGAGTCTGCAGTGGCTTAGATCCCTTTTTGGAGAAAGAACCACGTTAAAAAGTGCCATTTTGGTGAGAATGGGGCCGGAGAACACAGACTCTCCACATCTTAAGCCCTCCCTCTCTCCCTCAACTGAGAGGGATGCAAAGTGCTACACAGAATTGGGAGCCTCCTGACCCTCAGGCAGCCTTAACTGGATAGGAACCCTTTATGACAGGGAAGCTACTCATCAGGACGTCCTGTGCTGGGCCCAGATGTCTCTGAACATGCCTGCTTTCCTGCTGCTGCTAGCCAAAAACTTGACCATACAGTCTATGTCAGTTTCCTCATAGAGTATGTACATGCCTACACTGGTACGTCAGTAAGTCACAGGTTGGATCACACACATTAAAGCTCTTCTCCTAAAAGGAGGAGACCGGTGCACTAATGGTGGTCCATTTGGGCTCCTGTGGCTGCTCAGGGTCAGGCTGTGTGAACTGCCCTGCAGAGATTCCTGGCCCAGCAACTGTTCTCTCCCTAAAACCCTGGGGAGTAATTAGCCCAGGAGCGAATGATTCAGCCCAAGAGGATTCACCACCAAACTTAGAATTGACATGTTTTCCTGAAAAGTAAGGACGGCTACTACTATCCTTATACTTGTGACATTCATCTTCAAGAAAGCAGAAATTACAGGTAAAAGATAAGAACCAAAGCACTGAAGGTATTGGAGCATAAGTTAATGACAATCAATAGACAAAGGAATTCATTGGAAACTAAATAATGTAAAACCACACACGAGTAGATGACTTGTCACACACAGTGAAACCCAAAGTTTGTGTGGTAGGGGACAGACATGGCCAGCCCAGGGACAGGCTGGCTCCTCAGGCTTTGGTCACAGTGGTAAGATGTTATTTGGGATATTTAAGATATGCAATAAAAGATTATACTTGAAATATGCTGTCGCTTGTACTTCAAAACACTTGATTTTCTGGAGTCTTTCTACATGAAATCATCTTGGAGTCAGGAAACCTAACACCACATTAATATATATGAGATACAAAAATGTAAGAGACATAAAATAACAGACATACACATCCACACAATATGGCTTCACACACAGCTAAACGTTTTTCCTGCCCTTAATCTTGGGACCATTCATTCAACGTCAGTGAGACAAGTAAGGCCTGCAGGAGCCATGGGGTCTCTGGGGCGCGAGTCGAGGGAGTCCCCGACCCTGCGGGACCTGGGGAGGTGGGGTGGCTGACAGCAGGTGTGAGAGCGTGCTGTAGTGTGCTTGCTCTGAAGCAGCTTCCGGACAGACTGCTTTTGGATCACAAAGGTTATTTCACTCACTTTAAAAGGGAACAAGGACCACATACACTTAAGGTCAAACGATTTAGGAAGACTTAAGAAAAATGCCACAACCTCAGAAAGAAATGCCATCATAAAAATTAAGATCACCTGGCTTCTGTTTTTAGAACTACAAATGTCACCGTCCTTTGCAGAGGTTGGCTCTTGCCCTCCCCACTCAGTGGTTTGTCCTGCTCTGGGTGAATCCACCTAGTGCCTCGCTGATTATGTGGGAAGGGAGTCCTGGCCATGTGCAGGCTTGCATGTTCATCCCTCTTACCTTACTGTGCAAAAGCACCCTCCAGAGTGAGGGACTGATGTGGCATCTCTAATGCATCCCTCTATGGCCACACACACACACACACACACACACACACACACACACACACACACACACATGAAGTGGCATCATCACCAGGTCCCTGGGACCACAGCCACCCTGTGGGGCGGACCACTTCCCAAGCACAGTGCAGGCCTGGGTGAGGGCTGAATGGACCCCCGAGCCTGTGAAGGGTTGCTCCAAGGGCAGAGAACAGGGATTTTACAGGACAAAGAAGCACCTTTGCACAGTAACGGATTGAGCCAGGACCCCATCCATGCTGAGCCGTTAGCCTTGGGCAGTTTTAATGGCCTGTGTGTACGAAGGGAGCAACTCTGGCCTGTACCCAGGCTGTCCTAGGCCCACGGATCATAGGACCTGTCACAGGCCTGACAGCAGGCAGGACTGGGAACACCTAGAAGTGGGCTTGCTCCTATGCCCGGGTTTCTTCCGTCCCACTTGTTCACTCCGTGTGATGGTCAGGGAGAGATGGCGTCCACCTCCTCTGCCTCTGTTGTCCTCCCTCCCATTCCTAGTCCTTCTGAGCCCGGGTGCATCCCCCTCAGTGACCGCCTCACAGCCGTTGCTCCCCAGGAACCCTAGAGGACAGAGTGGCACACACACACAGGGGCCTGAGGAACATCTTTAGGCATGAGTCTCCACCTGTGCCAGTCAGGCTGAAGCTGCATCCACAGCTGGGAACTAGGCTCAGCGGCACCATGAACTGGGAGGTGCCCAGGCCCAGAGCAGCTCCTGTGGGCATGGTGCTTTCAGCAAGGGCTCTCAGCTCACCCTCCTCCTCCTGGACCAACCCTCACCCTTCTGCTCACTCCGCCTTCTTGTCACCCCATCTTCTGCTCAGCTCCCCTCACCCAAAGGCCCCTGGTCCTGCACAAGCTTCCCTCTGGCATCACCACTGCAGACTGTACCCGCTTCACCCTTGGAGCCTTTGTCTGAGCTTCCAGTTTCTTAAGGGTTTCCTATTGGAAGATTGCATAGTCTTTAGCCTTTTTCTC